GGGCGAAGTCAACTGTGAGCTCCGACCATATTCCGGTAACTTCCTGAATGGTATCATCCCGTTTCCGGTCCTTTTTGAATAGCCGTTTGGATTTTATTAAAGCCCAAACATTTTCAATAATGTTAAGGTCCGGACTTTGCGCAGGCCAGGGCAGGATTGCTTGATCTAAGTCCGCCAAAAACTTGGTGGGTATTGAGCCTTTGTGGCATGGAGCATTGTCTTGCTGCAATACCCATTCGATTGTTGGAAATAGTTTGTTCGCCGAAGTAAAAGCATTGTCATTTAATATGTGCAAATATCGTGATTGGGTCAGAGTGCCCTCTATTGGCACAAAATCTCCAAAACCATAGTACGACATGCAACCCCAAAACATTACTGTGCCACCTCCAAACCTGCTAAGAGGCTGCACTGCAGTTTTTTTATTTTGTCGACTTAAATGCATAAAAGTCTTTCGAAATGAGCCTTGAAACTGAAATGCAACCTCATCTGTCCACAAAATGTTGTACCAAAACTCCAAAGGCTTTTCAATGTACTCTAAAGCAAAAGCAAGACGTTTTGCTTTGTTTGCTTCCGAGATATCAATGATTTTTCGGACGACATAGGTGTTTATGTCAACATCCTTTAACCTTCTACGAATAGTAGCATCACTGACATGTTTACCAATTATCTGTTGTGATGCTGCAGACACTTTAACTGGGCTTATCTCGGGGTTTTCTACGAATGTGCTGACAAGTCTTCTGCATTCCCTGGTGTTCAATGCTGGCTTTCGCCCACTTCGGTGTAAATTATTCAAATTTCCAAGTGTATCCCTTTTGTTAACCAAGTTATACACCGTTTTTCTAGATATTTTGAATATCTTTACCAACTCCGATGCCCCAACACCACTCTTAAACTTGGTTACGATCTCGGATCTTGTTTCGACTGATAGTTCCTTTGTTTTTACCATTTTACAGCACATCTACAATTTCAACTACAAATTGAATTCCGATCTTAGTCAAAGACCGCACATGATCAACGCAAATCAAAGACTAAAGGCAAATTTACATTGTGTAAATACTTATGACGCAAAAAAAATGTGTGTAAATACTTTTGACAACCTCTAGGTAACTGTTCTTTTTGCTATATCTACGAACCTGTACCGTTATTTTAGCAATTTCTTTTTGCCGATCGCTTCTACACAGAATAAGCTTTATGACACAAAAGCTTTTTTTCAAAAACAGCGAACAACAACAACAACAACAAGCTTTTAAAGCTGAGCATGCAGAAAAAAGCTCGGTGTGTAATTACTTTTGACCACCTCTGTATGTATAGTATGTGTGTGTGTGCTTTTGGGCAGGGGTAATGAAAATTTCGTAGAGCCAAGGTCTCAAACTCATTAAATAGATGCCAGCTAAGCCAAAGTTTTGCTTCACTGACTTTAAACTTATGGCGCATAAGTCAAGCAGCTGTGTAATTCACACACGCACACACACACGCACACACTGGCACACACTTATTGAACTACAGCAATCAAGCTGGCAAGTATAAACAACATGACTGCCAATCCAATCCGCAAAAGGCAACAGATACCCAGCCAAAAAGCAATCATCAACTCTAGACGCTGCCTTGTGATTTAACGCTTGACTGCATTGCACGACGAATGAGACTCGATTGTTGACACACGCACACACACACACACACACTTGGCTCGATTTGCTATTATATCTTATCAGAATTTATATACACATCTACTCTAACAGAGACAAGAGTGAAGAGCATTAATGCAGCGCTCGGGGAATACAAATTTCGAATTCAACTATTTTGAGTAGGTCTGCAAAATGTCCGCAATGCCTATGCGAACTCAAAGGATACGCAGGATGCGAAGTGTTGTTTACCATTAGCTAAACACTAAATTAGGCTTTCCTGCGCCGCTCTTCCTGTTGATCGTGCGGCTGGGGCGTTGAGCGTCAATTGCCTCCACTCAACAGACGCACTTGCTCTCGCTGTCTCTCTGTCTGTCTGTCTGTCTAACTATCTGGCTGTTTGCCGGCTTGTTTAGCGCTTGTTTGTTGTACGTGTCGCTGCGGCGTTGTACGCACGTAAACGATTCCAAGTATTTATTACGCGCACAACTTGACATAATTCCTTTTTTCCGCTCTGGCAGTTGAGCCAAAGCTCAACCGAAAGCCGCCCCAGCCCATAGGCAGCGCTCATAACGAGGGGAGCTCTGCTACTGCAGCAGCAATGGCAACGGCAACGGCAACGGCTTTGGAGTAAATGCCACTTTAGTCTACTGGGCTGTTTGCTCTCGATTGGAGATGGAAGATGGAAGTTGGGCTGAGCAGGCGAGGAGAACAGCTCGATATGGATTTATGGAAGTTGTGCTTGTGTATGCGACTTGCATTACACGCTCATTGAGGGCGTTCAATTGCCATCAGCATCAGCATCAGCATCATCATCATTATCAGCAACAGCAGTGTTACATATTATCGTCATTATCTAGATTATTATCGTGCACAAGTGGGGCTCGAGCTCGAGTGGGAAAATGAAGCAAGTTTTGACTTAAGAACTTTATCTATGAACCCACCAAGCATCACATTTGTCTCATTCTCTGGCCATGTCAATGGGATTTCTTAGCGCATTAGGCAGCAACAAAACAACAACAATAACAGCAAACAAACAACGTTAACGGGCAGCAAACTGTTGGCCAAAATGACGGCAACCGTCGCCACCATCAACGCGAAAATAATACGAAAGAAAATATATACGAAAAGTGCGGCGTTAATGGCAACCCAACTGGGAAAGAGCGCAGCGCATGTGAGGGCAAGCGATATGATGATTATGATTATTATGTTGTTATTAGATTAAGCGTAATTTTAACTTTTTTTTTTTGTTTTTTGTTTTCGTGCTGCTGCTGCTGCTGCCCCATTTGCTTTTGTTCTGCTCACTTCCGATGGCATTGTTAAGTCGACTTCTTCTCTTTTTTCCTTTTTTTGGCACTGCGGCACTTCCGTTTGGCTTTGGCTTACGACACGACACTTGATGCCCCAGTTGGCCATGTTAGCAAAGTTGCCTCAAGTGTACCCAAGCGCTGGCTAAGCAACCAGGCAATGACCGTCCATTGTTCCAAGCTGTGCCTGCGTCTTGGCCACGCTTAATTGGTTCGCTTTTATTACTTGCCAAGTGCGGCTGCACAGTGTGCGCATAATTTCTACATGGCCTGGTACAGTGGGCGAATGTCATGAATTTACGAGCTCATCATTTACTCGATTCATTGATGAAAACTTTTGCTATTACCCTCGTGTAACTTAAGATTTGAGTAAGGCTTGAGTTTATTTTACTCTCTGTAGATATGGATTAATGATAGTATATGTACTAAATATAGTACAGAGATCATATTGAGACAGCTTCACACCCAACTGTCAGCTCGATTTGCTCTGATCTTCTTTGAAATGGATCTAGAGATCAACTGATCAGCTCTCACCTTTTGGTAATAGATTGTTATTAGCACCTACTTTGATAGCATTTCCTTCGAAGCTGGGTCTTTCAATTGCCTTTTGGTTTTGCTGCCCGCGACCCAATGTGACGCAAGGCAAATGAAAATCTTTTTTTAATTAAATGAGCTGGCTGCATTTGAGGGGCGTTGCTCCGTTGCTCCGGAGTCATGCTGGCTGTTCAGTGTCTGCCTGTGGCCGCTCACATCGCACCCACACAATCAGCCACACCCACTCACCAACACACACACATTTAAACAGCGACACGTGCCGGCACGGTTCAGTTCGGGCCTTTTTTTACACTTTGGTAGTTTGTGGCGCCATTTTGGCGCGAAATGAATTTAAATTGTTTGCCGGCGTTTCCTGTATTAAAGGCAGCTTCCTTCGCCTTTGGAGTTTTTCTTTCATTTTTATATTCACCTGCACCTTTTCGTATTCGTTTTCATTCACGTTCGCTCTCACTGAGAGCAGCTAGAAACGGAATTACTTAATTATAACAATTATTAAACAGCAGCCGAAAGGTCTGCCTTTTCTCAGATAGTCTTGGTAAAAAAGAGAGAGAGAGAGAGAGAGAGAGAGAGAGAGAGAGAGAGAGAGAGAGAGAGAGAGAGAAAAACTGCGCGTGTTTCCTGTTGCTTTTGTTATTATTGTTTTCGTTTTGTGTTTTTGCTGTTTTTTCTTCGCTTTTCTGGGCGCTTTTGTTATCATGTTTGTTGGCTGGCTGCTATTTTAATTAAATATTTTCACACCTACTTCATTTGCGCCCGGCTGGGACGCGACCAGACATTCATTTTATTGCCAGCATCTTGCTTTGGCCTTTATGTAGGTGTTAATTTCCTGTCTCCAGGCAACGGCAAAGGACAGTCGGCTTAAGCAAGGGCAACGCAACAACAGCAACAGCAACAGCATCAGCATCAGCGAGTATCTTGAATGTTGGCTCTAATAAGAATAATTGCCAGTAGTAGCTATAAAGCACGTTGACTGAAATTTTATGCTCCGGAAAATTGCATGCGAAATAATTGAAAAGCATCGAGTCGAGTTTTTGTCGCGTTTTGTGAGGCAGCGCTGTTGCTCCTTGGTGCATCCTGCGGCACTTGCAACAGCAGCAGCAGCAGCAGATAAAGTTTTCCACAGCGCTGAAATAATAGCAGCCAAAGTGGTTATAAATATTTTGTGCACAGTTTCTGTTTTGCCCTCTGACCACTTTTGTCCTTCTGCTTGGCGCTGCAGCGAAAGTCATTTTTCAGCTAAATGAATTTGCACAAGTTGCGGCCAAAATGCGCAAAAAGAAGCAAGAACAAGAAGCGAAAAAAAAAAAAAACTAACTGAAATGAAAAGAAATTTCAAAAGTGGCGATGCTCCGCCAACTGCGGTCGCTGGCAGAGTCAGCAGCGTATCTAATGAGGCGGAATCGGTTGACCTTAAGACACTAGCTGACGTTGCCTTTTGCAGTTAACTGCAGCAAAAAGTCGAATATGAAAACTTTACCAATTCGCCACTGACGACGAAATTGCATTTCAATTGCAGGTCCACCAGGTCCACCTGGACCGCCTGGCAAGCGAGGGAAGCGCGGCAAGAAGGGCGACCCCGGCGAGAAGGGCGAGGCGGTAAGTGCTCAATGGAGACCCGAATGACAATTCCTAACGGCAAGTGCTCAACTTTTTCTGTCCCAGGGTCTCAATGGCATCAGCGGCGAGAAGGGCGCGGCCGGCAAGCCCGGCGACAAGGGCCAAAAGGGCGACACCGGCCATCCGGGCGTCGACGTCTTCCAAACGGTGAAGGTAAGTGGAGAGCGCGGATTCACTCAAATCGGCTGCTGCTGCAAATCTGCATACGAAATTGGATGCTCAAATTCCGAAAATGTTATATCAAAAGAATTGTGTTTTTTATTTTGTATTTCCACTTGGTTTTTCTGCAAATCTCTAACCAAAATGCTCTGCTCTGCTTTCTCCGCATTCGTTCTCTGCAGGGCCTCAAGAGATCGGTGACAACGCTGCATGGCGGCACCCTTGGCTATGCGGAAATTGTAGCTGTTAAGGTATTTCTCCGCCATAAATACGTTTCAACTGCCGTACATTAGATCTGACAACCAGCTCCCGCACCCCCGCGTAACCCTAATCCTGCTACCAACCCGCTACCGCCTGGCCTGGCCATGGCCGTATCTCAGGGCAAACAGCAGTCGGACAGAGAGTTGGCAAATATTTACAACTTGTTGTCCACTGCACTTGTCTTTGTCCTTGTAGCCGTAGTAGTAGTCGTAGTTGTTGTTGTTGCTGTAGTTTGTATACGTTTTTGTTTATTATCCTGCTCATTGTTGTTCGTAATGCTTTTAACTTGACTCAGCTCTTCGGCTTAAACTGCACCATAAATTTGTAGCTACTTCAGCATAGTTTCTGCTTAGTCATTTTGTTGCATTGAAATACCAGACGGCCATCCTTTATAGCGCATCCTTTGGCTGTTTGAACTGTCGCAATGACATTTTTATCGTCATGCTTTCATGTCAACTCTTGTTTATTTTTATGGAAAGCTCTTTAATTTACATACTCGTATTTTATGCCAAGCCACACTTTTGATTTCGTATGTAATTAATATAACTGTTATTATATTTTATTTGCATATTCTTTAATTTAAATGCATTATTTATGGCGCGTTGCCAAGTTGAGTCAACGAGCACAGGCGATTTTTTCTTTGGTTTTTGCTTAATGGTTTAGAATATTATTAAAAAAAAAAAAATAATAATAATAATAATTTGATTACATAATTTGGTATTATCTACTTAATTTTCTTTTTGCTATTTAATTGATTTAAATTTACTTTTTTAGTACAAATTGAATTTTGCTTTGCAGCAGCTAAGGTTTATATTGTATTTATTTATTTGATTTAATATTTTGATTAACCAATTTAACATTTATTTTTATTTTCTAATACTTTATGGTTAATTTAATGTGTGTTTGGTTTGTAAGGACTTGCAAGAAGCGGGCGTTAACGTCTCCGCTTCGACGGTTATACAGCTAAAGGTAAGTGCTGAGGTCCTTGGCTATTATCCTTTTAGTGTAATGCATGCCTCCTACTATGTGGTTTCATCTTTGTTTAATGCACGTGCCTATCCATTTATGCGGAAGATCTGTCGATTCGTGGACAAACTAATAAACGTATTTCTTTCAATCGACTAGGGTGAGCCGGGCGAGCCTGGTCCGCCGGGACCGCCGGGAGAGCCGGGCGTTGCTGGCGTGCCGGGCGAGCGTGGACCACCAGGCGAAACTGGACCGCAGGGATTACAAGGTGAGGCCGGACAGCCAGGCCCGATTGGACCGCCCGGTGTGCCCGGCGCACCTGGCATAAAGGTGAGTGATTCACACAAAACAAAAACAAAGAGAGAGAGAGAGACAGAGAGAGAGAGGGTGAGGGAGGGAGGGAACGATAGGAATTCGAAACGATTCATAAGTAAAACAAAGATGTCACAAGGATTAATGCACTATTTGTATCTGTTGGATAAACATTGTGACGTTTTAAGTGAGTCGTCCTCACGTATCTGTGTGTGTGTTGTGTGTGTGTATCATTGTGTGCTGTCTGGCTTTGTTTTTCCGCTTTGCCCATTGTCTTTTTCTCGGTTTTCCGCATTATTTATCATTTATTTATGTATTAAGCGCCCCTCTCTCTCTCTTCCTTTATCTCTCTCATTCCCTCACCCTTGTCACCTTTTATTGTCCCTTTTTCTTGCCATTTCCACTTAATTTTCCAACAGACAGACATCAATACAGATGCAGCCCTGTGACTCATTAATACGTTTGCTTCTCGTCTCGTTTGCAGGGCGACAAGGGCGATCGCGGTGATCGCGGACTCACCACAACCATCAAGGGTGACGAGTTCCCAACGGGCATCATCGAGGGTCCGCCGGGACCGCCCGGACCACCTGGTAAGTGTCAGAAGAGAAAAAATCTCTAGAGGGGCAGCTGCCCCTCGGTTCGAGAGCCACTTAACTCTCAGAGTTATAGATATACATACACATATATATACACATACACATGGAGACTAGTCGTAAACTACGTTAAGCGCAGCTTATTGATGTTTGGGAATCGATCGATTCCATGGGTTTTTCAAGTGTTGCCACGCGGCTGCTGCCATTGGCTGGTGGCTCATCTGCGGGTTGTTTAATTTATTGCCAGCCGGCTATGGGAATAACGTAAGTGTGTGTGTGTGTGTGTGTGTGAGTGTTGGTGCGGCCCCTGGCCCCAGCCTAATTGAGTCATTCGCTAGCGCTGTCCCATTACAGCGCATTTTGGATTTTGATTTTGATTTTCGGGCTTTCGGTGTGAAAAGCAGCTCGTTAAAATGTAAATCAAACACCAAAATGCACAGCTTCAAATGCGCTGCATGCATTTCCGCTCGTCGTTGTTTTTATAGCCGCACAAATTTTGGAAATATTCTCGTTTGGTTTTTTCCTTTTCTTTTTTTTAGTTTTATTTTTTTTTCTTGTTATTTTCTGTTTTTTTTTTCATTTTTTTTTTTTCATCCACATTTGGAAATTTGTTTGCCTGCCGTATTTTGCGATAACATTTACGACCTTTGTGTTTTGTGTGCTGCCACATGCCGCAAAGTTTTGACGTCGACGTCAATTAAATGCCCCACAATTCGTCGAGGCGGCAGACGCCCCTACCGGCATACGGCCACACGCCCACTAGCCCACACGCCCACGCACCCATACGCCCACAATAGTTGAATTTCCATTTGGTCTCGGCTTTTACGATCTGACCTAACATATTTCTGCACTTTATGCGATTTTAATAAACGAAAATAACCCAAGCGGGCAGCCGTACGAATAGTTGAAACGCTCGGGCATCCAACTCGAAATCAAAATCCAAATTCGAATTGGAATCCGAGTCCGGCGTTTGTCATAAAAATTTGTAGACCCGGAGAGCTTGAAACACTTACCGCAGTCGTAAAAAAGCAACTTTATGTCATTTATGTTGCTTTTAGCGGCTCATTAGCATCGCTACTCATTCCATGTGGCGTTCCGTTGCTCGAGGCACGCATCGCCGCAATGTGGCATGCAGTATGTGGCATGTAGCATCCAGCATTCAGCATGTAGCATGCAGCATGCAGCATGTGGCAAGAGTTCGTGTAATTACCTCTGCTCCGACTCGCTTGCTCTCTGACCAATTGTTTTATTAGGGGTCTTCAGTGCGCGCAGTAAATAAACAATAGTCATGCATTAGACGGCGCAGCCACAGACAGACACATTCATGAGAGCCGAGTCGTAAATGTCAGCTAAGTGTGCGGCTATAAAGAAAATAAATTCCAGTTTTGATGAGCAAATAAAATGCCAGCTTTGGTAATCCTTTAAAAGCCCCAAAGACCTTGAACAGATCTATTCCATCTTCGTTAAATATGCTTATATGCATTTCGGGCTGTTGAACAAGTCATAGAGTCTGAAAGGTTCCTGAAACAGATTTATGAGGCACTTTGGAAAGAACTAGAAACATATTATTATAGTAGATCGGAGTGTGTGCTTCAGGTAGATAATATTTACATGTTGTCTATAAATAAGTAATAAGAAAGAGCAACAAAGTAGAATGAAATATCTTAAGTAGAGCAAAAGTTTCGGAGGATTTGCCCTCAAGTTAGGATTTTCCTTTGCAAAAATATAGCCAGTCGAATATAGACAACCCTGTATATGTTGTATATATATATAATACATAATATTTAAGCTAGTAAGTAGAATGAAATATTTTAAATAGAGCCTAACTTTTCGGTGGATTCCAGTCAGGTTTTCCCTGGTCTTCTGCTTACCAAACAAATCAGCTTTGGCCTAAGCCTTAATTATTATCAATTAAAGTTGGTAAATGACATTGATAGCTGCTCATTGCCTTGCCGTACTGGACAGCTTCCATTAGGCGCTTGAGGCTCTTAAGTATTCCATGTGCTCATCTAAAAGCAGTTGCAGCAATGAAGCAAAGATTAAATTTTCTCTCTCTCTCTCGAATACCCCTAAAGCGTGTGACCAGAGAGCATTTACTATCGATTCAGCGCTTGCAACGACCCGCAGCGCGCAGCCTCCCACTTGCCTTATCAGAGCATCAGCATGATGTTGTTGCTGTTGCTGTGGTTGTTGTTGTTGTTGTTGCTGATGTTGTCACAGTTGTTCGCTGCAGTTGCGTTAATGTTGCGCGCATTGTTTTTTGGGATTTGTAGCTAGTTGAAAACAAGATCTGCTGCTGCGATAGCCAGAGTTGCCGACAGCCAAAGCAGCAGCAGACCCTTGTGCATGGCCCACGGCCACCTCCCTGACCGGAGACAGTTCTATGAGCGCGCTGGGCTGTGCGTTGATGGACATGAAATTGCAATTTATTTTACGAAATCAGCGTCAGAATCGAGTCGCCAGTCGCTCATGGGACATGCGTCAGGGTCTGGTTCTAATGCTGGCTCTGCCTCTGCCTCTGCCCCTGCCTCTGTCTCTGCCTCTGTCTCTGCTTCTGACTACGGCTTCAGTCATTTGGGCTTGATTTGAATAAATTGAATGTCATTTGTATTTGGAATTCTTTCAGCTGGTCGCCACGTCTGTCTGTGACTCTCTGATTTTCCCTGTTGACTGCTTATCTTATCGTTGTCGTAATTAGTTAAGCTGACTTGTGCTTTATGTGTGGGCAGGCACTGAGCTGGAGCTAAAGCTGTAGCTGGACCTGGGAGACGTTTCGACAATTTAATGTGTCATTTGTATTTTGCGTCTCCAGATGAGGGCAGGAAATGCTGGCAGCATCGGCAGTTTCAGCAGCACCAGCTGCTCCAGTCCCAAATGTAATATCAAAATTTTCAATTTATTTGCTGATTTATTTGAATTCCATTTGAGTTCCTATTTTGATTGCATCTCATCCGGGCAGCTCCGCTCGGCCGAGCTCTGCTTTGCTTGGCCAGCGAAATTAAAACTTATCATTTGCACTTCATCTGCATTGCCTTTTTGCTGAAAAGGCCAACAAGGGAATATAATAGCAAACAGAGCAAAAAATACCAAAATGAAATGGGAAACTCTGAAGGGCAGACCAACACAATCCAATATCCTGGACTCTATAAATCCACTCCAGGGTTCGCGGAGCTGGACTACGCTGTCGTCGGGCCGTTGGCAATAGTTTTGATTATGGCTGAAATTGTCGCCTAAAATGCTTAACGTTAAATTATGCCGCCATAAATACTTACCGAGTCCGAGTCCGAGACCGAGACCGTGACCAAAACAAAGAGGACCAGCAAAATGTTCATTCTAAATAAACAACAGAGGACAGTGCACAGAGGCAGTGGCAGAGGCAGTGGCAGAGGCAGCGGCAGCGGCAGAGAAGCCATAAACCAAACGCCAGCCGGACTGTGGGCAGGCAAATTAATGCGCACTGGCCAGGAGGCGAGAGTCCTGCCAACTCAACTCAACGACCCGAATCCCGCCCTAAAAGCAATTTTACGAACTTAATAAATTTTCTATATCTCTTCATGCCAACACACACACACACACACATACAGGCCTGTTTTGACAAGCCACACACAATTGGATCTATGATATGAATTCTGTATGCATGTAAATACAAATATATATGTGCTGCTATATGCACTGGTGTATGTGTGTGCCGTGTGTGTATTTTGTCTATTTATTCGTCTGCCTATGTGTGAGTGGACTGTATAAATGGTCACATTTAATGGCTTTAGTCAAAAAAGACAATTTCTCATTATTTTCACTAAACAGGTCGTCACGTCGTTGTTGTTGCTTTTGTCTCGCTGTCGCTGCACAGTGGAGCAAAGTGAGTGTGCTGCTGATAGATTTATGGCGAAATGTTTCTGCACTCTTAAGTTGAAGCCAATGCGAAGCACTAATTGACTGACTATGCCAACCTGTCTGTCTGTGCGGCATTTCACTTGCAAAATGCCTATTGATTATTTTTCCTGGCGCATCTGTGACACACAAATTGCAATTGCTGCTGCATAAATAAAAGCACTGGCAAATGGGTCAAGTTACTTGAAAGCCACACGCTTCATTAGCATGGAGCGAGCTGCTGTCAAACGAGCCACTGTTGGCTTTTGGGCAGTTTATTTTTTAGCAAATAAACAATTTGCATTTTCAACTTGAACCGAGAGCCATCAAAAGCAGCAGCAGCAGCAGCAGCTACGATAGTCGCTTATCGCAGTCGGCAGCCGCAGCAGCAGCAGCAGGAGGAGGAGCAGCAGGACAATTTGCTGACCGAAAACCCATCAAACGCTTGTTGACTGACAGATGAATAGTGACAGGCCATCGAGCGATGATAATAACGGGTGTAATTACAAAGCTGTGCCACAGCCCCGCCTACTATTTGCACCGCACTTGTCGCACAGCGCGTGTCGCTGTCAATTAAGTTGTACACTTCAAGAAATATTTGCACACATTCAATCAAGTTGTTATATATGTATGTATGAGGATGTAGATCCATATCATAAGAAAACATGTGAGGCAATGTAATAAAAATAAACTATATACACAACCATATGTTGTATGGTTAGTGATGCATACAAAGCATGCGGGTATTCATGACTGCGCAATACACGCTTTCGATTGATTTACATTTTACCAGTTTATATTATATATTAAATATCAAATTAAGTCTGTTGCATATATGTTTATACATATATATAGGTGTCATTATCAGAATTTGTATCAAATTTTATTGACTATAAATATTGTGTGTAATAAAAAATAGAAATTTGTGATTTATCCAAAATAATTATAATAATAAAATATATCGCATACATTTTTTCATAATTAAATCGAGTTAAATCATGAAAATAATTTATAATAAAATGAACAAAACTTAATAGTTTAATAACAATTATTTTTTAAAATTATTCATATATTTTTTTAAAATTAATTTTTTATAATTAACTCGAGTTAATCATGAAAATACTTTATAATAAAATGAACAAAACTTAATAATTTAATAAGAATTATTTAAAAAAAAATTATTTTTATATATTTGCCTTTCCACAAACATATTCTGTAGCTCGACTATTTCTCCAAGTGTATGTGTCTATTTATGTTGCCTGAATTGTGTGCTCTTTGTGCTATTTGAAATCATTCGCTTTATATGCCAAATATTAACATTTACAGGCCCGCCCGGAGAGCGAGGAGAGCCCGGCCAGATGGGACCCATCGGACCGGCCGGACCGCCGGGCGAGAAAGGACCACGCGGCAAGCGGGGCAAGCGGGTGAGTGCTACAGCAAACCGAATAACCAATGCGAAAACTCGCTTTGCAGTCAATTTTAATTAGAAAACAACGTCGACTGCAAATTAAGTGCGAGCGTTGAAAAAAAAGCAGAGAAAGATAATAATAGAAAATCATAATGAAGAAAATTTATGAAAATGTAAATGGAAGTGTAAGTCTCTGTAAAAATGCGTGGAAGCGTAACGCTCATTTGCATACTCGTTGAATTAATCTGTAAATATTTTGTAAACACGTCGCAGTGTTACGCAACCTGTATATATGAATATATATATATGTATATACATTTGGGGCGCATCCGCATCCTTTTGGCATGACCGGGCACGCAGCGCCACCTGGCGGCTACCTTGCATGCTGAATATGTACATAGCTAAATATACGGCTAGATCTATCCATGAGAGATATATGTATGCATCCTTGACTCTGTGATATGAGCATGTTCTCCTGCGCCCCATCCCTCCCAAGGATCAACTCGCTCCACGCCCCACTAAAACCCATTACAGTTTCAGGCATAGATGAAATGCGTTTGATTAGCCCCTCAAGTATCTACCAGATACGCACGCTAAATAGGTGTTTGCGTCTCGGTGCCTCGCGGCGCCCGAAACTATGTCGCCGCACTTTGACGCCTCATCGAAATTGTCAAAACTGCGTCGGCTCTTAAGCCAGCTGGTTAATTTATACGCCTCGGCGAGTATCCGGCGCATTTATCTAGGCATTTGTGCCGTGCGTGTATGGGCACGTCCTCTGGAATGTCAACAGTGCAAAGATACTTAACATTTTTATTGGCACTTGGTGAGTCCGGGCGGCAGCTGTTGCCGCCCCGTGACGTGCTGATGGATGCACGGAGAGCATCAACGGATTCTCATATTTTGCAAAACACTGCTGCTGTATATAAATACACACGATGGATAACAGCCAGCTGAGGATTGACTGTGCGAGCGAGAGAGATGGAGAGGTAGACGAAAGGGAAGCTGGCATGAATATGTATCTAGAACGTGTTTGTGTACGTTATGAAAAATGCATAAGCGCCGCTGGCAAAGGAAAACCATCCGGGGGCAGCGATAGCATTGGCTGCTTCTGCTTTAACCACTCCAAGAGCATTTTTGCGCGTTTTGCCAATTTTCCTAAAAACAGTCTGATTATTGTATAACACACACACACACGCACACATATATATACTTAACACACACACACACACATAGAGTGCGGCGCTGAGTGGCAAATTCATATAACACGCCTTTGGCCAACTGCTGTTGGCCCAGTCATTGGCATGGCCATTGCTGTTGCTTTTACTGTTATTGTTGCTGTCGCTGTCGCTGCTGTTGTTGTTGTTGCTATCGTTGTTGTTGTTGTTGTTGTAATAATAACACAACAGCGGCAAAGAGCGTTCAAACAAAGTTCCAATACAAGCAGCAGTCAAAGACCAAAAACAACATCAAGTGGCAGTGGCAACTGGCAACAACGTGCAGCTTGGTTTTTATGACTTCTGCGTCGATTCGCCTTGGATTAACCGAGAGTTGTTCTAGTCGTTATTGCAGCTGAATGAAATGATATAATATTGAAGCTAATATACAATACATTCTCATCAGATTGGAGCTGAATCAAGAAATATAAAGAATAATCGTGTTTGCAAATTTCAGTTGATTTTGCGGGACTTTCGATCCTTCATTGATCAGCAAATCGAAATTAGTTAGTGAGTGTCTAAATTTAGTTAGTATTCAGTCAGTTATTCAGTCAGCTGTTCAGATTCAGAAAGGCACTAAGTTATTTAGTCAGTTATTCAGTTCGTTATTCAGTCAGTTTTAGTGAGTCAGTCATTCAATCAGTCATTTAGTCAGTCATTCATGCGGTCTTTTATTCAATCAGTCATTAAGCCAGGCATTCAATCATTCATTCAGTCATTCATTCGGTCAGTTATTCAAGCCATCAGTTCCTTAGTCATTCAGTGGGTTATTCAGTCAGTCCTTCAGTCTGTCACTCAATCAGTCCTTCAGTCTGTCATGCAGCCTGACACTTAGACAGTTTTAGTCAGTCTTTCAGTCATTCATTCCGTCAGTTATTCAGGCGGTCATTCTCTTAGTCATTCAGTCCGTCATTGTCAGTTATTCAGTCTCTCATTCAGTTAATTATTCAGTCAGTCATTCAGTCTGCCATACAGTCAGTTTTAGTCACTCATTTAGTCATTCAGTCAGTCATTCATTGGATCTATCTCACATTCTAACCATATCTCAATTTGATTTTTCTTACTTTTCTAGTTTCTTCTGCATAACTTTCGTGTCTCCCCTCGTTGTTAGCTTCAGTTGCGTTTAATGCATGCCGCGCCTCCTGCCACAATATTTTCAATGCTTGCGCACTCGTGCCATGGTGCTCGAATGTGCCGATTACATCGCCCGGCTCTCTGCTATTGCTGCTGTTGCTGTTGTTGCTGTTGTTGCCCGCATTGGCCGTGCCCCGCGCCTACGCGGCAGCAACGTGATGTCAAAACAAATGAAAGTCATGAGAAACGGCAGGCAGTCGCAGCTCCCTGGCTGCCTTCAGCAAACAAACAAAACTTTTGGCAACAAACAAAAGTTTGGCTCCTTCCGCGTGCCGCCGCTCCCCTCTAGCCATACAGATTCTCGGCCCAGGCCGTGCCACACCGAGGCAGTGTTCAGCATAAAAAATTATTTGCAACAATTGCCATCATCTTCGATGAACGCTGGGCTGGGTCCCAGCTCCTCCGACTCCTACTCTGACTCTGGCTATGTCTATGGCTCCGACTCTGGAGCTGGCTTTAGCTTTGGCTCTAGCGAAACGTGACGGCTCCCGGCAGCTACGACAAGGCGGGGCGTCGATTTTTCAATTCGGCTATCAGCGGCTTTGATTTTCCGAGGAAAACCTTTCCAAGCCGTAACCCAGGCATTTCAATGAATGAAAATGGGAATGCGAATGTGAATGTGAATGTCTCTGATGATGATGCGAAACGTTGAGAAATGATGCGCCTCGTGTGCCACATTTCGACTTTAACACATTCGCTTAGCAGCCAAATAGGAAAATTGTGTACAAGTTTTTCTTCTTTTGCTTTGCGTTTTCTTTTTAAATTTGGCGCGTTGCTTGCATTAAAAACTCTTGTAATTAGTTCAGTAAGTCGTAAAAAATGCTCAAATTGTTTTGGAAAACATTTATCCGTCTAGCGCTATAGAGCCACACCCCCAATGGCTTTGCATCTGGCAATAAGTCTATAGCCGTACAATGGCAACGATTTCGACTCGTTTTATTCGCATACTCTAACCAAGGGTATCTTAGCTCTAGCCAGGCGCTAGCAACAAGAAACTTCCCAGACTGCCCATGCAGTGGAAGGGTATTGGGTCTTCGGCATGGCTAGCTGAGCTACGGCTTTATTATTGCCTTTTTTCTTGTCGCGTCTGTCGCGTCGGCTACGGCCATAAAAAACGCAATTGTAGGCATTATAAATTTGACATGTTATTTTCGTCGCCTCGTCAGAATAAAATGTTCGCATGAGAATGTTGCGTCATTTGCTGGCAGGCCAGGCAAGGCAGGAAGGCGGGAAGGCGGGCGAGGGCGACGTTGGCTTAGCATATATGAAATAAGCATATGAGCAGGAGGCGGGGCAGCAGGGCCGGGTGCCCAAATGAGCTGCGATGTGATGGAATTATGCTCTGAGCAAACCTGAGCATTGCGACAGACATTTGCCAGTTGACATATAAGAAAACTCATTTATGGATCTGCGGATGAGTTATTGATGTGTAAATTCAAATTAAATGCCATTCGAAACGAAACAGAGATAAAAGTATTTCGGAACTCAAGAAATTTAACAAGCATCTATTTTACTATCATATACATAATTTGTTTAGGTTCGTTCATTGCTTATGAGAATAAATTATATATGTTGATGACCTGATGTAGTCTGGCAATCTGATATAGTCTGCCTAGAAAACTAAATAATTTGTATATAGATTTACAGATACTAAGCCAGTTTCTGTTGGCATTTCATTCTGTTTTGATAAATAGAAAATATATATATATTTTATATCACCAGGAAAACTTGATGGGAAACAATATTCTTTTATCATATTTGACAGTTCGATTGATTGTAAATTGAAAGATTCATAATAAACAATGCATCACCGCAAAGCTGGCTAATCAATTGGCTTTATTGCCTTATGTCGGTCTCTTCGGAATGAATTCAGCTTTGTGTTTGCATATTTGGGCGCTGGCAAATCTAATATACAATTTACGATCGGGCAACATATTAAAAATTTAAATTAATTTCAAACTTTTTGACGAGTTTCGCTGCGAGCAGTGAGCGCAGCGACGGGGCGTATAATGAATATCCAATGACTGTCCAACTGTGGCAGTGGGCGGTGGGCGGTGGGCGGTAGGCGTGCGGCAGATGCCGAGAGCTTTGCCATTTATTATGCGCACTGTTGTCGCTTTGGCTTTAGCTGTTTTAGATTTGCGTTGCCATTTTTTTAATAAAGTTGAAACAATATTTCACACACACACATACACACACACACACACGCACACACACTCACACACATATATATATTCTTAAACGGTGTTTCCTAGGCAGCTTCTGCCCCGAGCGCTGCGTCAAAAACTGTTGAAGCATTTATGTCAAATTTATGTTAATATATTTTACAATCGTCGCTTCACCCAGGCCCATGCCCATGCCCATGCCCATGTCCATGTCACATCAGCGTGTGTGTGTGCGTTGTCTTTGAGAGTCTCAAAATCTGCATAAATTTTGTAGCTGCTCTAGCTGGCATTTCTTATCAGCAGCATTGGGCAAGTTTCTTGTTGGCGTCGCGTGTGTCTTGGGTAAATAGAGTCATAAAAATTGCCGCTGACGCTCAAACAAAAACAAGAACAGAAACCTGAAGAGACATGAGAAAAAAATAAAACAAAAAACAAAAAATGGGTAGAAAACTTGCTGATACACGTTACAACAACAGCGAGCAGCTCCGGCTCAGTTGCCTGGG